AAAGGAGAGAGAGGGAGAGAGACAAAGGGAGGGAAAGAGGATGACAGAGAAGGAGGGAGAGAGAGAGAGGAGAAGAGAGGAGGAGAGAAAAGGAGAGAGGGGAACCGAGGGAGAGGGGGAGGGAGAAAGAAGGAGCGAGAGGGAGAGAGGGAAGGAGAGAGAAGGTGAGAAACAGAGTGAGGGAAAGAGGATGAGAAAATAATGGAGAGACAGGGAGGTAGGGAGAGAGAGAGAGAGAGAGAGGAGAGAAAGTGAGGGAGAGAGAAGGAGAACGATAGAAGGTAGAGAGGGAGGGAGAAGAAGGAATGAGAGAGACGAGAGAGAGAAGGTTAGAAATAGGGAGGGAGAAGGAGAGAGAGAGGAGGAGGAGGGAGGGAGGAGAGGGAGGGAGAAGGAGAGAGGGAAAGAGGAGCGAGACGGGGAGGGGAAGAGGATGAGAGAAGGAGGGAGAGATGGGAAGCGAGAGAAAGGAGGAAAGAGAAGGAGGGAGAGAGAGGAGGAGAGAGAAGTAGAGAGGGAGAGCGAAGGAGAGAGGGAAACAGAGGGGGAGGGAGAGAGAGATAAAGAGGATAGAGAGGGAGATAGAGGAGGAAGAGAGAAGAAATGAGATAGGGAGGGAGGGATAGAGAAAGAAAAGGAGTGCAAAAGAGAAGAGAGAAGAAGGAATGAGAGAGAGAGAGATAGAGAAGGAGAGCAAGTGTGGGCATGAAGGAGGGAGGAGGATAGAAATGGAGGGAGGGAGCGAGGGAGGAGGTGTGGAGAGGCAGATCCAGCTGTGTGCTAAATGAGTGTGTCGCAGAGTGGAATTATGGGTAAATGAGTGTGTGCACACAAACACAAAGGGGGAGGAATTAAACTGAACGCAGGATTAATGTCGGATCTGTTTATATTTGTGTGGTCAAAAGTATCGAAAATCAGACACTAATCGATACTAAAACTAATATCGAAACTAGAAACTCATTTGAGCAGATATCGATACTGGAAAGGGTCACGTTCAGATCAAATGTAAAAGCACAGAGACTTACACTGGTGTGAGTCTGGTCTGTGATTGACAGGTGGATGAGCCAATCAGGGGCGGGCGTGGGCTGTTCAGGGAGGGACTGAAAACGTGATGTATTTCTGTAGAATCAATGAGCGAAACACTAAACTAAACCAGGACTAAACCAGGTAAACCACTCTAAACCAACTAAACCAGGACTAAACCAGGACTAAACCAGGACTAAACCCTAAACCAGGACTAAACCAGGACTAAACCAGGACTAAACCAGGTCTAAACCAGGACTAAACCAGGACTAAACCAGGACTAAACCAGGACTAAACCAGGTCTAAACCAGGACTAAACCAGGTCTAAACCAGGACTAAAACCAGGTCTAAACCAGGACTAAACCAGGACTAAACCAGGACTAAACCAGGACTAAACCAGGACTAAACCAGGTCTAAACCAGGTCTAAACCAGGACTAAACCAGGACTAAACCAGGACTAAACCAGGACTAAACCAGGTCTAAACCAGGTCTAAAAAAACCAGGTCTAAACCAGGACTAAACCAGGACTAAACCAGGACTAAACCACCAGGTCTAAACCAGGTCTAAACCAAGACTAAACCAGGACTAAACCAGGACTAAACCAGGTCTAAACTAAAACAAGACTAAACCAAGACTAAACCAGGTCTAAACCAGGAAACCAGGACTAAATCTAGTCTGAACTAGGTCTATCCCAGACAAAACCACATCTAAAACCAGGTCTGAAACCGGGTCTAAACCAGGTCAAAACCAGAATCTAAAACCAGGTCTAAACCAGGACTAAACCAAGACTAAACCAGGTCTTAACTCAGATCTAAACCAAGTCTGAACCAGGTTTAACGCAGATCTAAACCAAGTCTAAATCAAGACTAAAGCAGGGTCTAAACTAGGTCTAAACTGGTCTAAATCAGGCCTAAAACCAAGGTAAACCAGGTCTAAAAAGACTAGCAAACATCTAAACCAAGTCTAACAGATCTAAACCACCAGTCCTAAACCAGGGCTAAAAGACAGTCTAAACCAAGACTAAACCAGATCTAAAACCAAGACTAAACCAGGTCTAAACTAAACTCAGATCTAAACTAGACCAAAACTATGACGACAATGGGACTTAAAAACATGATGTAGTTGTGCAGAATCAATGAGCGAAGCACTAAACTCTGTGAATCTGAGATGAGACAAACGTGATCTTGTTTGTTGTTGTTTGTTGGACCAATGAGCTTCTTCATTTCACACGTCACTGAAAAAAAAAAAAAAAAACTGGACCTGCCCTTTGTAATTATTGTATTTTTTATTGTCAACAGGACATATTTTCTGAAATGGTTGAGTTACACTATATTTTTCATTTTTTACTCATTACCTTGACAGTTAAGTGAAACTACTCTCTTTGTTTACGCACGGATAAATGATAAAAGTTTATATATTGTTGTTATAAGTTGTACATTGCATCATAAAATCATCGCGTTCCATCTTTTCTCTTTCCTCTCCGTCCTAACTCCACACCAGGGCCTGTCTCTTCTAACCCTAACACCGTTTTTTGCCTTGTTTTCCTCACTAAAGCTGCTGTTGTTGTGATTCGCCTCTCCACAGAGCTGATATGTGCATGTGCATCCAGGAAACGCACTGTCAAAATAAAAGCCTCTTCTTCCTCCTCCTCCTGCAGCTCCTCGTGAAGACTTTTACTGTGGTTTAAACTAACACTAACCTCCCTCCTCGAACTGTGCAGAGACGACAACATGGACACATTATTTTATTTACTCTTTAAACTAAATAAAGTATAATTTACCGTAGATTTAATACTATTAATGTAAATATGTTTTATTTTTTCAGTAGCAAATACATTTACACAATTTAATCCAAGTTTTCTTCAGAAATTCACAATTTGCAACCTTCAAAACAAACACTATTTTTAAATAAAACGTTACTGTGCAGCTGTGCATTGTGTGACCATGGCAACTGCTGAAGATTCTGCCGTAGACATACAGTCAGAACACCCCCCATGTGATATCACTTAGGGCGGCTCGATTATGGAAAAAATCATTATCAGGATTATTCAATACTGAAATCATGATTATTCAAATGATAATTTTTTACACGATGCATTTATTCAGCTTTTCTCTCTCTTGGGAAAAAAAAACACTTTGTTATTGATAATTTACACAAAACTGTACAAATTAAAAATAAATATAGACTACAAGTATTAATCTTAGAGCAGTTTTGAGATGTATAAAATATAAAATTAATAAAATAAAATGCTTTGAACATGCAATAAGGCATCAAAAAACATAAATGTGTCCAAAATAAACTATATATCTAGCTTTTCTACAATCTCTAGGTTTAAAACATAAATTAAAAATACTATAAACGTTAAATATACGATAAAACAAAATAAACTTTGTTAAGGTTTAGGGCGACTCACACTAGGACTTTAGAACCGTGCCATGCTCAAGTCTTAAGTACGACGGCGCTGTTTGTTTACATGTGGTGCAGCAGAACTAACACTTTTAGCAGAGAAAAGAAGTCCAGCGGCACAAATATCTATTAAATACTGAGACAGATATGAGTCCTGCTGCGATAAGCTCTTTGATGAGTTTATGGAGATAATCAGTACCGTAGCTCCTCATTACGCACACGGGGACACCATGAATCCTCACAAAACTACAGTTGTCGCGCTCCGGTCCTCACTTTTCACTTAATATCACTGAATTAAAACTAGTAAACCAATGACAACAATTCCTCATTTCTCAAAATATATCTTTAATTTGCAATTTCAGTTTCATACAATATACGGATTTAAATGTTTGTAATTTTCCAACTGTTATTCTAGTAAATTAATGTAATCTCAGTGAAATATATTTTTAAAAGTGTGCGTTTGGTGGATCGACAACCTGCTCGTCTCCACGAACACCGCGAAAAATAAAATCTAGTTAAGATGACTTGAATTAAGAAAGTTTTATCATGATTTGAGTAAATTATTTAAGACTTTTTGTACGGAAAATATGAAAATACATCTTGCTGCGCTTAAAATAAGAAAAACAACAACTTTTTGCACTTAAAATAAGAAACGAAATCTAATGTTGCTTGAATTACGAAAAACACGGTTGCTCCATTGGCAGAATCGACTCAAATAAAGTCAAATTTAAGTCATTTTAACTAACCTAGATATTACTTTTTGCAGTGAAGGCAAATCAATAACATCTCCATAGAAACATTTAGTACTTTATGACAGTTTTTTCTCTTTAATAATGTAATCTTGGTCAAATATAAAACATGTTCTCTAAATTAAGTTAAATAATATTTCTTTAAAACCTCTCACATGTGTCCATATTGTTTCTCCGCACAGTCGCTCTCTGCTCTGGTGTTAAAATAACTGTTCATTGGTGATAATTGTGTTTTTTGGTGATTTTCCGGTTACACTTTATAACGATTAGACTTTAATTAGCCTTAATAAAGCATGAACAAAGACTTAACTCATGAAGAACATTACATATATCAGGAATAATTCATGTTTCTAACTGATTAAGGAGCTAGATTCAGTGTAATAATTTAATAAAGCCTCTGTATATAACATTTTAAGCTTAAAAAATGGACAAAAAAAGCAAATGTGTTTTTCATTTTTGTTGTTTTAACTTTGAAAAATATGCGTCCTTACTCAGAAAAGGCTTGCATCTCCATAAACCTGACTCTCTCTGATGGAAATGCTATTCGTTTGGCTATAATATTTCACATTATACCATAAAATTTTCATGGAATCAGATTATTGGGCACCTCCAGAAAGTTACATAGTGTTGCTTTAAGTAGTAGAAGCCTGAATCACGAACTATACGATTTGTTTATTATGAATTAAGGCTTTATTCATGCTTTATTAATGTTTTTTAAAAGTGTAGTTCTTATAAAGTGTAAGCGTCTCTGCTCTTGTCTATCTGGTGTAATCTGATTTCTCTGGGTGCTGGTGTAATCTGATTTCCCTGTGTCTGTCTCAGCCCCGGGGAGTCAGACACAGACTCTGAGGTGGAGGATCGCGTGGACGGGGTCAAGTCGTGGCTCTCCAAAAACAAAAACTCTGCTAAAAACCTCTCGGACGACGGCAGCCTCAAGAGCTCCAGGTTTGTATTTACAGCAGCTCCGGACACTGTTGTATCGGATTAAAGAACCACTGTGTCACTTTTAGCCAAAAATAAGTTGCTGTTGTGTTTATTGCACTGAAAAACTTGAGTCTTTTTTAGTTCAGTTTATTGGTTTTCTTGCTCTTATTTGTTTTATTGTCTTAACGTCGACTATTGGAGTTAAGTCGAGCTTTATTTTATATTTCTGCTGAATATTTAAGGCCAATGTCTGCACAGTGTCACCATGGTAACTGCTGAACATTGCTAAAAGTGAAAAAATGCATAGCACACTCAGATAGTCGATGTCCAAAAGCTTTTTTTTTTATTTTTAAATAACGTTTCGGCAAAAAAGCCTTCATTCTTTCTTCAAAAATGATCTGATGAAGGCCAAAAAATTAGGACTTTTTGGACATCGACCATCTGAATGTGCATTTTTTTCACTTTTATTTGCACCTCTACAAAAACTTTGGAGTGCGTTTTCTGTTTCATTTGAACTGCTGGACATTCCACCATGTACATACACACAGAATCCCCCAGCGTGATGTTAGACTATCACAACCTTAAAAACTAACTGTAATAGGTTCTAACCCGATGTAAACTATTCTTAATCATTTTCTGAAAAGGTGTCTGCTTTAATTTACCTGCGTGAAGTTGGGCCCCATTAAACACAAACCTACACAAAAAAGTTTAGTTTGTGCTCTTTTAGTTTAGGAGATATTAACAATTCTTTTCTAGGTCAAATCGGGGTCAGCCAGCCCCCAGGAAGATAAAAAATGCTCTAAAATCACCCAAAATGGTTGCAGTTGTTAATATTAATGCAAAAAGTAAAATATTAACGGCACACAACAGCACAAACAAAACAGAAAGAATTAATGTCATAGTTTGCCAATTTTTTTGCACATTTTAACATTTTCGGGGAACGCGATGACGTCATCTAACCTGATTCATCAGCCGGTTTCACTTCGTGGAAACCGTCTGACCTCGCAGCATTAGGATTTGTTCGCTCAACGGTAAGCGGGTACTTTTTTAATTTAACCAATCACTGTTATTTGATTGTGACGTACGCTAACGGGACTAACTGGTACTGTATTTTCCGCACGATACGGCGCTCTGGATTATAAGGCACACTGTCATAGAATGGTCTATTTTCTTACTTTTTTCACAAATAAACCGCACCAGACTTTAAACCAGGGGTGTCAAACTCATTTTGGTCCGGGGGCCGTATCCAACCGACTTTGATCCCAAAGGGGCCGGATCAATAACAATAAGTTCAAATATTTGTGCAGAGAAACACAAATCTATTACAGAAATCTTTTTTAATTGATGAACTCTTTTTACAAAATATTATAATATTATGAAACAACCTGAAACTTTAAGAAAAATTCAATTTCAACACAATGTTTTAACATGAACTTGTCTGTAAACAGGAATAAGTAAATTTTTCTTGTAAAATCCTGCACTCGGCTCCACTTTTCTCATGTTGGACATTTTTCTGATGAGGGTGTCACGGTCAACAGTCAAAACGATCGTCCTTTAAGAGCGTTTGGAAAGAGACAAGTCTTCATTTGTGCTGCTCTGGTGGGAGGGGCCACGTACAGAGACGCTGGAGACGCTGATATGATAAACACCACAGAAAATGACTAATATTTTAATAAAAAATAGAATTAAAATATTTTAGTAGAAAATCAGCCGAGGGCCAGATTAAAGGTCTTGGAGGGCCGGATCTGGCCCCCGGGCCGCATGTTTGACACCTGTGGTCTAGAGTATTCTGATTCCCGACTTAATTGCTGGAGAGAAATGAAATTGAGCGGAGGCACTAGGTGGCACCAGCCTGGCTAGACGTCATCGGTCGGAAATAACCAATATCTTAAGAACCGTAAAAGCACAAATGAAACTTTTTGCAGCACAAACGATTGTCGTAGTTTTCGTGTAGGTTTGCGTTTGATGGGGCGCCAACTTCACGGAGGTGTTTTAATTTGCAAATTCGTACAATACAACTATTTAAATGTTTGTCATATCTGTTAATCTGTGAAAATGATCTCAGCGAAACATATTTTTAACAATGTCAACATTAGGATGCAGCTTTCTGGTTTGGTGGGTCCACAACCTGCTTACATCTCCAGAAGTTAGATAAAATAACGTGTTAAAAGAAATTAGTTTTAGTAGACCAGTCCGATGTTTTATAAACTTTCCAGCTCCCAGAACGTCTTGAAGGTGCATTATGTAACTTTTTAAACAGTTCTACCTTACATTTATTCAAATAAAGCCGGATTTAATTCTCAAAAATGTAGAAAAACATCCATTCTGACTGTGAAATCCTCCACCATAAAAGTTACACAATGCACCTTTGAGCAGCCGGCCCGGTCTCTCTCTTTCTCTCTCCTCCTCTCTCCGCTTTACAATCTCTAAACCTGATCTGTCTGCAGTAAATAAAGTGATTTCAGCAGTGCACTGGTCCAAAACGAAGCAGCTGTTTGTCCAGGGCATCCAGAGCTTCTTTATCTTTATTGTTCCCTCTTTTTTTTCCCCCAAACCCGCCTGCTCCGTGTCAGATTTATCGACATGTCCGCGGCCGTCTGCACAGTCTCGCGCTCAGATTAATGGATATGTCTACAGCGTGAAGCTTCGATTGGCCCACTTTCCCCTCCTTACATAACGGCCTGGGCTTAGAGCTCAGGTACAGGTGGGACAGACGGCAGATGCATAATATAAGCAGGACCGTCGATGGAAATTTGGGGTCCAGGGTAAGAAAACTCAAATGGGCCCCCCTCTCTAATGTAGATTAATACGATGAAGGTCCAATTTTGGGCGCCTAAAACTCTGCGGCCCGAGACAACAGACTCCTTTATCCCGTGATATGAACATGGAAGCACTTTTTGCGGCTTTTTCGGCGCTTTCTGACATTTCGTTTTGCCATTTTCTGGTTTATTAATTGGTGGTTTTCAGTAATTTGTTTTCCCCATTTATTAATTTAAACATGAAATATCCAAAATGCAAATCCACAAATGCTAAACCTGATTATTTTTATTAGCAGTGTTGGGAAGGTGACTTTTAAAATGTAATCCCCTACAGATTACAGATTACATCCCCCAAAATGTAGTTTGTAACGTAATCCATTAAATTACTTAAAGTGAGTAATGTAATCTGAATACTTTGGATTACTTGATTTGCTGTAGAGAAACAAAGACGAGGAAATCATAACATAAGATGTTTTGTCGAGTAAAAGAAAATAAAAAGCCCAGACTTTACTGAACCGTATTAAAAATATTATTGATAGAAAAGGAGGAGACACGTCCACGCAGCATGATTTAGTCCTGTTAAATCCTGTTTTAGTCCTGATTTAGTCTTGGTTTAGACCTGGTTTAGATCTAGTTTAGACCTGGTTTAGACCAAGTTTAGTCCTGTTTTAGTCCTGCTTTAGTCCTGTTTTAGTCCTGGTTAAGATCTGGTTTAAATCTAGTTTAGACCTGGTTTAGTCCTGGTTTAGACCTGGTTTTAGTCCTGGTTTAGACCTGGTTTTAGTCCTGGTTTAGTCCTGGTTTAGACCTGGTTTAGTTTCCGGCAATGAGTGAAATTACCGGAAAGAAAAAAAAAAAAAAAAGGCAGGGGAGGGGTGGGTGATTTAGCCCAAAATGTGAAAACGGGAAAATCCCTCTGTGTAATCGATTTATTTCAACAAAGTAACTGTAATCCAATTACCACTCACTGAAACAGTAACTGTAACTGAATACAGTTACTCATAATTTGTACTCTGATTACATAACTCCAGTACATGTAATCTGTTACTCCCCAACACTGATTATTAGTGACTAGACCCAAGAACTCATATCCAGGCTGGTGTCACCTAGTGCCTCCGCTCAGTTTCATTTCCCTCCAGCGACTAGGTCAGGAATCGGAATAAACTAGACGGTTTGCGAGAATCCCAGAAGTTGTAGATCGTGCACCGGCCAATCAGAGAAGAGTTGTGAAGTCATGACATCAAACTTGTCACGTCTGTCTGGGTCCCTTTTGTGGAACAGCACAACAGTAAACAAAGCAGTCGAGATGAATGTAGACGAAGACAGACATTCTGTGTTGGCAACGATTCCTGAGTTTGATTATTTAAAGCCGGAACAAAGTGAATGTTTGGTGATTTTTATCAAGGGGAAAGACGTTATTGCCCTTCTTCTTCCTACGGGATTTGGGAAAAGCTTAATATACCATTTAGCCCCGTTAGTGGCGCATTACATACGTCACGACCAAATAGCAGCGACTGGTTACATAAAAAAAGTACCCGCGTACCATCAAGCGAACGAATCCTAATGCTGCGAGGTCAGACGGTTTCTACGAACTGGAACCGACTGATGAATCAGGCTATAGAACTCACTGTATTACAACAAAAATGTGCTTTTTTTTTTTGTTTTTGACATTTTGACTAAATGCAAGATTGATAGGTTTAATACTAGGAGTGTATTGGCGAGGAGAAAATTCAGTTTGTCGACTGGACAAAAGTTAGTTTGGTTGAAGACGTTTTCGCAGCTCATCGCTGCTTCGTCATTTCTGAGAAGAAACCAAACTAACTTTTGTCCAGTTGACAAACTGAATTTTCTCCTCTCCATGAATTCTACCTGGACGACTGAGGGATTCTTCACACTAGGAGTGTAACAGTACATGTATTTGTTTCGTTCGGTTCGATGCAGGTCTGTGCACAAGTGAATTCGCACAGTTTGTGTGTTTATAGTCGGCCTCTACATGTGCAGCTACACGAAGACTCGGCTCTTTAATATTCACGTGGAAACTCGTCCGTGATTGGGGCAGTGTTTCCCGCAGCGCTTTATAGTTAGAGCGACCACCTTGACAGTAATAATCGCCGCCTTGACTACGTCCCTCCAAACCACGTGAATCTTCGCAAAACTACGTTCCTCGTGCCTCGGTTCTCACTCTCGTCTATCGTTGGCACAGAATCTCCGCTCACTCCCCAAGAACAACGTAATCAACAGGAAAAACTGTCTCTTGCCCCT